ACCTCGGGGAGATCAGCTGTCTCTCTGTTAAAGAAGCCTTTTAAATTTTCATCTAAAGCTTCTCACATTCTTAAAAAAAAGAAGGGCGGGGGCTTAAATGTTTTAGATTCTTGGATTTCAAAGATCTGCGCGGGTTTTGAATTAGCAGATGACAGTACGAGAAGAAAGAAGCTGATCGAGATGGTTCATTTGCCATGACTAAACTGCAAATTGTGTTCCATCTGTGACGACGCTGCGATACTACAGCGATTCCAGACAATGAAAAGAAGCTTTCTGGCTTTTGTTTATACTGCATACACTAAACCTCCTTATGGTGACATAATTAAGGAGATCACATGCTGATTTGGATGAGTTATTACTTCTATCCCTCCTGTGACACGATTACTTCAAAAACGCATCGCAGCTCAGGGCCAGTGATGTCGAAATCCTTCCCAAGTCACATCCTCAGTGGCTCAAAGTGAAATGTTTCCACGGTTGATCTGAGTTTAGATTGGAGGCTTCAGGTAATCAATGCTGGTCTCACCTTGTCTCCAAGCGACAGATGTGCACCGGGCCTGTTTGCTGATAAATAAAGACGTCATTCTGTCTGTCACACTTTCCCTGTTCCTGCTCTCACTCCTGACTTCTTGATACTCTCTTTGAACAAACACACACTCACACACACACACACACACACACACACACGGGCAGAAAGACTCACCGTGTTTCTGTCCTATCTCCAACAGAACAGGCTCTCCCAGCTCGATGGTAAAGGTCTTGTTTTTCTCATACTCTTCATCATCAATGATTTTCACCTCGATGATCTTCCTGTTTGTTAAAAGAAGAGAGAGACGACGAGGCTCAGTGTGTGCAGTCCAGATAATTACCTTTTTTGGTTTTATGTTCTCCATCATAGTAAGAGCTTGTTCATGGCAAAGGACCAGTCTATTAAAACTCTCGCCGTGACAGGTTGTAATCGGACACGAGGTCATTTCTGCTGCCCCTACACTGAAAAACACTGACATAAGTAATCATTATACTACCTAAGTTGAAGTAACAGTTATAATAAACACACCCAAAAAAGGAAAAATAATTAGATTTGATCCCCTTGTGATTTCTCTCAGAGAAAAGGATGACGAGTCTGAGCAAAACTGAAGGCTGAAGCCCAGATTGGCAGAACTCGGGGGAAGGGTGTGAGGGTGCTAGCTACCTCCCAGGCTTGACAACTGACAGTGATGCTATGAACACCACAACTACTGGGGAAACATTTTCAATCAGAAGCGCCCTGGGGAGAAACTAAAATGCAGTGCAGAGAGTTTTGAGGGGATGTGTAAATTGGAGCGGAAAAAAGGTGTGGAGATTTTCAAAAATAGCTATTGGAGCACTTCTTAGTACTGCTTGTGTTGCAAAAGACAGACTATTGATATATTTAAATAATGATTTCATTGTCTTCATGAAGAAAAGAATCTTTGAAAACCATAAAAACTAATAATTTGTGTCTAAAACTGCAGACATTAATGTGTCAGTGCAGGGCTGTAAATGTGATGGGAGTTTAACAGGACAGACTGAAAGCTGTGATTGCTTTTCAAGTGGAGTTTCAATGTAAACCAACAATAATTAAACCATTCTTTGTATGTGGCAAATCTATTGAATCAATTTT